CCAGGGCTCGAACCCGTGTCCCCTGCATTGGCAGGCGGATTCTTAACCACTGTGCCACCAGGGAAGCCCTGATCTTTAATTGTTCAAATATCAATTTAGCGTCTGCTCTTCAGAAGGCTTTTGGATGGTACTGGGGATGCTAAGAAACATAGACCCAACCCCTGCCTGTAGAATTCTAGAGTCTAAGAGCAGCATTCATAGAAAGCAGCTGGTGAACAAAGATCTAAAGGCCCAATAAAAATAAGGGGTAAGAAGTGGGGGTTGAGGGGTTCCTCATGAGGAGTCTAGTGTAAATGTCCTGATGCAAGGCACTTTGAGACTTCAGGACAATTTAAAAGTCCTGCAGTGGGAGATAATTTTAAGTTAGGCCGTATGGTGAGCCAGCCAGTGAGGCTGTGGAAACACTGAACAGGGGCCAGACCCTCAGATGGTGGGTCTCAGAGTTGAGAGACTTAAGCCTGGAATGGAAAACTGCCCTTAACAGTTACTTTGAAATCATGAGTAAGCCAGAGAAAAATCTCCACCCGGGGCAGGGACGGAACGTGCCCCGTGCTCCTGTCCCAGTGCAGGTGAACACAGTGCACAACCTAGGTGTTTTATGCACATCATCTCCAAGGAGTGTCTTTGAAATAAAGATGACAGGAGTCTGAAACTGGAAACTCAGAAGCCAGTGGGCTGATACTCTTTGCTGGGGGACAAGGAGTCAGAGCCCATTCTATTAAGAGGGCATTCGCATTCAGGTTTTTTTTTTTTTTTTTTGGTTGTAATTCCGCAAAGTCTACGAGAGGTGCAGATTTTCGGTGACGGTAAAATTAATGACGATAGGGGTTGTTTAGTTTAGATGAAAGGGCAGCTTGGAAGGAAGAAAGAGTTAGTCTTGGAAGCAAATTCTAGAATATTTGAATTTCATTCAGTTGGAAGGAAAATATAATTTTCATATTTGATTTATTGGGGAAATTAAAGATTCTTTGTAAACAGCATTTTGGACTGATTTGGTGTTCCAGGTCCTAGAATGCCACATATTCTCTGATATCTCCTGGATTTAAAAATTCCTTCAGGGTGGGTGGTATCGTCTGCAGCCAAAATAATCATGATCATGGTAAAAACAGACATTGTGTAAAGTCTCAGTGTGGTCCAGGCGCTGTGCCAGGTGTTCTACGTACATTACCTGCATGCCACTAGCCCTGCAAAATAGGGCTTAACAAAGCCACTTCACCTGAGGCTCACAGAGCTTGGTGATGGACCTGAGTTCACACAGCTAATAGGTCACATGGCTGGGACTGGACCTCTGGTCTGAATTTGTCCAGAGCTCGTGCCATTCCACTCCTCCCAGCCTGAGGCTGATCATGAGTCAGTTAATTCACTGTCTTCTACCACTTCAAAATGTATCTTGAGTGATGAGAAGAAGGACTCTGTGACCAAAACACGGGATTGGAATACATACCCACAGCAGTACGAATACCGAAATAAACAAGAGATATGAATAAAGGAGAGAAAGAGAGAATGCTCGGTAACAATATGATCATCTGCGTGTGCAAAATCAGATACCCTCAAGTGATCAGGGGCTTACAAGATTACCTGGCTCTGTCCTTCTGTGTAGAAAGTAAATACTTTAGAACTACCCTAAGTCTGGCTGGTGAAGAGAAGGAATATATCAGCTTTTTTTCTCTGGCAGCGTAACATCTGTCCTGAGTTCCTTAATTTCTGCTGCATTTTCCTAATCTTACATCAGTTTCGGGACAGAGACCCATTTTCTCCCAAGATTTGCAATAGGGTAACCGGTCACATGTTTGTAGGAATATGCGTTTCCCAGGAAGCTTTTAATCAAGAGACAGAAGCTGATATAAGAACCCCCATGAATGAGGACCGAGGAGACAATCACCCCTGAATATAGGAGTTATCCAAAGACTAAGGAGAGTGACCTCAGTTCCGTAGAAGGAGTGCCAGGCTTTGTTAGATGTAGTGAGCATGTTGAGTGAGGAATCATGGAAGGACCCAGCCAGAACAGTGAGGTCCAATAGAGTTGCATCCCTGCTGCCTGTTCTTGGAGGCCCCAATGGACTATGGTCATATGAGGATCACCCTGAGTTTCAACTTGGAATTCTTACAAGAGTAGGACCTTGATGTAAGACAAGCAGCTTCAGGAGAGCAGAGAGTGGAGTTACAGGATTGATCATGTGTCAAGGTGAGGATCTGAATGTGGACTAAGGGTAGCACGCACAGCATAAAAGGAGGCCCCGGAAAAATCTCTGATGCTGTCATCCCCAGGAAGCTCTGGCCATAGATGTCAGGTTGATTTCAGCCTGGAAAGTCTCGGTGAGGTGAGGATCTCTGTCTAATGGGGTTGGCCTCAGTTTTGCAGAGAGAGAGATGGAGACCTGAGCCCTAACAAGAATTCATGTGATGATGCTGAGTGTTATGAGGGGACCCCCCAAAAGCAGAGGGGGCCAAATAGAATTCTGTACAGTTCTTAGCCCTGGGAGACCCAGAAGAGGTACTGCTGAGTCATCCCCTCATTCCACCCGTGTGATCTCAGGGAGGGAAGGGCCTCATCTAGCAGAATCAGACTCCAGTTCTGCAGAGGGGGACGTCTTGGCCATAACCAGAGTCCAGGTGAGGACCCTCAGTGCTAATGAGGGGTTCTCTCCCCCAAGAAGGGAGGCTCACAGGGTGGCGCCCGTCTTGTCAGGCAGAGATGGTCGGAGCAGCGCCCTGACTTCCCCC